AGGCACGCTTCTCATTAGCCTAGAAAGAGAAGCTGTATTTTGATGGCACAGAGTTTAGAATTTTAAGTCAGATCCAAAAACTATCTTACCTCTCTGTCTTGGGTCACATAAGAACTCTCAGTTTTTCATTTCTTTTGTTGCTGGCAGGCTGATAAGGAGCTATATTAGCTTTTTAAATCTTGGTTTTTTTAATTGGAATTTCATTTATTGGTCATTATTATACTGGAAACGGGTATTTCAGTGAATGCTCCAGAAGACCTGATATTTCTCCTTGTGTGCTCTTAATACTTAATGGGGTTTTTTTGAGGGGGAAGTCCTTATTTAGAAACTGTGCCCCATACGCTTTCAAGGTAACCATCAAAAGCGTAAGCACAGAGTTGATGTCTGCAATACAGATATTTTTGAAGATATGAAGATGTACTGCTTACCAAGTGGCTGGAGGTAAATGACAGGATGTATAACCCAGCTGGGGAGAGGGTTAGTTACTTGGTTGTGCAGAAACATGTCCCTAACTAGTACAAAGCTGTTGTTACCTCCCAGTGGGCTCCACTTGCTGTAGTTTGGATTCAGGGATTGGCTTGCATTGAGATGCTCCCAGTGTGATGTTCCTCACTGTTGACTTTTCAGGTGTAATTTATTCTTGATGATTATGATTCTTACAAGGATAAAGATAAGAAGTAGAAGAAATTGAAGATCTTAATCATTTCTTGCACAAGCAATCTTCTTGCTGTAAGGTCCTCTGTCTTCCTTTGAAATATGTTCCTAGGAGTTTCCACGGTCCTTCTACAACCTGGGTTCAGAGAGGCCTTAGGAGAACAATAATTCCTTGAAAGTTTCCCTCTTCCTTTTGTTTTGACTCTAATATGGCTACAAACATGTGTTATGATGCCAGAAAATAAAAGAACAGAATTTTGTTTGTTTTTTTTTTTTTTGCTTATAGCTAACAATATTTCTTTCATGGTATTTTACATCAACAGTTGTCAAAGTGTTTCAAAGGAAGCCACTGCCCCCATTTCACAGATGTGGAAACCAAGGCACAGGAAAATGGTTTGCCCACAGCCTCTTAGGAAGCCAGTGGCAGAAAATGAGTGATCTCAATAGCCCAAGTTCACAGCATTTCATGCACTTTGAAGAGCGCTTTGGCTGTCAAAAACCTGTTTAGTCTTTGCAATCGACCTCTCACTTACTAAGATCCAGATACTTTCATTTTCTCATATCAAAAAAATGGTAGCGGTTGGAAACAGTGAAAGCACTCACTTCTCACTCTGACTGCCCCTGCTGCTGGCTGGAGGATGGCTGTGAAGTCTGTGTGATCAATGCCTGTGGACTCAGTCCTAGTGATGGGAGTTAGTGGAAAAGCCCTCTAAGGCAATTGGCTCCACTTTTTGGCAGCTGCTGGGATGGCAAGAGCCTTGGTATCTGCGGCAGGTGGAGCCTGGTCCAGCAACAGCAGCTGTGGGTGGCAGATGTGGGGGACAGTGCTGCTAAGACCCCTTTGCTGTGGTCTCCGTGCCCTGCAGCAGAAGAATGAGGCAGTTCAACCAAGGAACCATGTGAAGGTGTATGTGAAGTATGGGGATGGACTGTGACAGGTAGGAGGCTGGGAGAAGCTGTGTTGTAGGGTCTGTTCATAGATCCTAGGGATAAAGCCTTCAAAATGGAATTTCAACAGTTACTTCAGTTTGGGCTTGTATAGATGAAGGTATTAGGGACAGGATATAACAACTTCAATCTCTAGATATTTGCTAGGTTTGAGATAGGTCATGGTTTGGAAGAGATTACCATGGTGCTGCCATTTGATCGACGTGCAGTTGTGCTGTGGTTTGCACTCAGGCCTCTGCAGGCAGCTGTATGTGCCACAGAACACGCCCTGTAGGGGTCAGGGTCTCTCCTCTGCCCTCTAGGCTTCTAAAATCAAAATAAAGCAGTTGAAAATACTTGGAGGGAGAAAACGCCCTTCTGTTCTGTTCTCCCTGGGGTCTCTTCAATTAAAGAGATATTTTAGAAAAAAAAATCATTTGTCTGTGATTCAGGCTGGGTTTGTAGACTGCTGATATGGTGAATGTGGTCCCTACTCCTTGGGCTTATTCTTCTGTGTATGACACTGCTTCACCAAAGAGGATTAGCATACAGACCTGAAAGGGCTTCTGGACTTGTATTATTCTTATCTTGTCTGCATCTTTTGTCTCTACTTCTTCCTGAACAGAGAATCATAGAAAAGGTGTTTGGAAGGGACCCTGGAAATGGTCTTGTCTGAGCTCCCCTTCAGAGGACTGTCATCACCACTATGTTTTTTTCTAATTGAGCTGTTAAAACCTTAAAGAATGGAGATTAAAAAGCATGATAAAATGTATAGAACAATCTGTTGGTCTCAAAGGATCACTCCTTTGTGTGCTATTGAGGGTTTCATTTAGGTTACAAAATTGAGTTGTGGTTTTCAAAGGATCACAGGACCGATTACCCTTTTTGCATGTGCTGCCTCTGCTTCTCCTCTCACTTTCTCCATCTACTCTGAGTGATGGATTTGGTAATTATTGTCACCAATTCATGAGTAAACTCATAGCAGATTATGCTGTATGAAGCTGCATAAGTACTAAACAAGCACATCAAGTTCTGCATGCCCAGAGCAGGGCAAATCAACCATAACTGTAATGTAGGTGTCATCAGTGAAGACTGCTGATCCTAGAAAAAAAACCCCCTCCTTTGACACGCTGGGCACATATCTAAACTGACTTGATAGGAGCTGACTGCCACAGAGTGATTCTTGTCTTCTGACTTTAAGTAATGCAAGCTGAGCCTGCTTAAAGTCCATTAAGGAAGTGCAGGGCTCCTGCTAATTCCTACCGACACCTGGCTCTGTATGAATTGTCACACACAGTTCTTGCAGGAGCTGTTTATGCTGCACCAAAGAGAGCATTAGAGAGTCCCTAATGTGAATTAAGTGCCAGCATAGCATGGATGAAGGGGTGAGTTACTTACAGTGCTGAATATGTTGATTAACTTCCAGTGATCAAATTCTCCATTGGTATTTAAGGCCTGCTCTGAACTAAGGAGTTGGAGACCTTTTGCTGTACTATGGACCTAATTTCCATTGCAAACCTTGCAAATCATGTGGTTATTTTGCAAGATTGTCACTATGCAGTAATTGTGAACACCTAGAGAGGTCCTGTCACTATCTCTGCCCCATTTTTAACCCTCTGTTAACACTTTTCTTCCCGGGAAAGCTGTTTATCACATCCTGCCCACAGCTTAGCTGTGAGGTGACCAAACAAAATGTGGTTTGTGATGGAGCTCTTTCATTGCCGTATTTCCTTTCAGATACATTATGTGGACATAATCCCATAACTAACATGGTCACCCATATTTCATGGCCATGACTATCACCACACAGACAGAGCAAGCAGCATTTGCACTATGCTAACGTTCAGCGTTGGCAAATTAGTATCTTGGTTGACCCCTATGTACCAGAAATATGAAGCCACAGATCCAGGCTTCATGTTTAGACAGAATGAAAACTGGTTAATTTTGATGAAACTTACGCATTTTTCTTTTATTTAAATTTATCTTCTCTCTTTCTAACAGGAACAGAAGGTGTTTCTCAGCCCCCTCTGCTCTACAGAATGAAGGAGAGGACTAAATGGTACACTCAACCCAAAAGATACTGGCATAGCTTTGAGGTTTCAGCCACGCTCTAAGTACAGTGCAAGGCTGTGGTGGTGCTCCTGAAGTACATATAGCTCCATTTATATGCCTCTTTTGTTTCATAGAATCATAAAGGTTGGAGAAGACTTCCAAGATCATTGAGTCCACCCTTTGACTGAACACTACCGTGTCAACTAAACCATAGCACTAAGTAAGTGTCACGCTGAGTCCTTTCTTGAACACTTACAGAGATGGTGACATCAAGTAAAGAGAAAATTAGAAAGGTGAAAGCTCAGCTAGAACTCAGTCTGGCTACTGCTGCAAAAAATAATAAAAAAGTGTTTTTATAAATACATCAGCAACAAGAGAGGGCCAAGGAAAACCTCCATCCTTTATCAGATGTGCAGGGGAACACTGTCACCATGGATGAGGAAAAGACTGAAGTACTCAATGCCTTCTTTGCCTCGGTCTTATTTAACAATAAGACTGGTTATTATGAGGGCAATCAGGCAGACAGGGACAGAGAGCAGAACAGACCCCCTGAAATCCAGGAGTAAGTAGTTAGTGACCTGCTGTGCCACTTAGACACTCACAAGTCTATGTGGACGGATGGAATCCACCTGAGAGCACTGAGTGAGCTGACAGAAGAGCAAAACAATTGGTAATTATTACTAAGTATATAGAAGAACTACATGCTTAGGTGTATTATATCCTGTGTGGGAAATACAGGACTTAGATGTACAAATTCTTGTGAATCACAGGTCTTCTCCATCCCCACTTGAAAAAGGAAACTCATCAAGTATTGAAATAAAAAAAAACACCAAACAGCCAACCAAAAGTCCCCAAAAGCTAACACTGGAAATCCATCTCATTAAACATATCTGATTTTTGATGTAAAGTACTTGAAAAAGATTTCTGCTGATTTCTCTCATACTTTTATCACATAGCCAATGCTTAATTAAGGAATATGCATTTATTTGGCAGCAAGAAACTTGTGGTGACCACAGCCTGGTTTACATACTGGAGTCCATGTGCAGTTGCTGTAATATACCACAAGAATTCTTTTTTGAGATCCAAACACAGAGACTTGTTCAAGTAGCTATGAGTGATTTTTCTTTTACTGGCAATTAGTTTGGCCTTGCAGCCACTGAAAATTCTTCAGGATTTTATAAGCTTTATTTCAATCTCACAAATGGAGTAAAACTGCACATCCCAGTTCAGCATCAGTCTTTGACCTGCTCTGATTCTGTTTCCCTGCTCTTCTTAAATAACCACTGTAATGGAAGCAGAGCTGCTCTGGAGTAATAAATTATAAATGCTGTGCTTGAGTCTGCTTATTGGGATGTGACTGAATAGACAATATAGTTTTCACAGATGACTGTTGAACAAAGAGCCTCCAGTGGCTCAAAATTACCCATTTCTCTGAAAACTCTTAAAGGCAGTGAGAAGATAATGCCAAACACTCTCTTTGAAGGCCAAGGTAAGAACACAGAGAAAAAAAAAAAAAAAAAAAACCAAAAAACTCTCTCTGTGGAAATGAGCTGCTCTCTCTGGGTGGAAATGGGGAAAGCTGAAAGACCCAGGTGGAGAAGTGGACACATGCTGCAGCATCTGAAGCAAGCAGCCAGTGGGTCATGAGCAGGCAAGGTTCCCTAGGTAACACAGAACACCTGTGTTGTTACACAGACTAAAAAACCTGTTTGTTACACAAAAAACCTGTTTTTTTCCCCAGTCCTGCATCTCCAAATGATGTTGTTCCTGTTGATAAGCCAGGGGGGTGGTGAGGAGGAAGCTGGCTGTGCACTGCCAGCCTGGGCTGCAGGCTCTTGCTGGAAACCTGGAGGTTGCAAAGCTGCTGGGAGAATGCATCTCATACTCAGGTTTTTGTAGCCTGGGGTCTAGTCTGAGAGCAGAGGAGCTAGACTGAAGAGCAAAAAGATGATGCTTGGGTGATGTGCTCTGAGACTGGAAAAGAGGGGAGAAAAGGGAAAACCTGTAAATGTGATGGAGACAGTCCTGCAAGTCAAACCTGGAGAGAGTGACATGGTTCTGCCAGCAGGAATGAGCTTTCTGCTGCAATTAGGCTGTGCTGCTCTGCAGGGTCTCCTGCACTCAATCTGCCCACGTGTCTGCTCTCAACTCATCTCTGCTTTTGTTGACCAATTCTCAATATGCTCATAGCGATGCTTTGGTTAAAGCAAATCAGTTATTTAATTCTTGTTTTCATTTCTAAATTTCCAGTGTTACAAGGACATTACAAGTCCTATTAAGCAAAGCAAAATCAGCTTCAGCCTGCACATTAGTCTAGCCACAGTGAGTTGCAATATAAAAGAACAGTTCTGAAATGTACCGAGCTCTTCCACTTGATTCATGTTTCAGCACAGCATCACACCATAGATTCAACAAACATAGATCTTTTAAAATGGGCAGATATGTACAAAACTATGATACAGTGTTATTACAAAACTTGAGAAATAAAGCTCTGTATTTTGAAAACACAATACTGCACAGTCCCAGTTTTAAAGCCAAAGTAACATGACTCAAAACGTTCTGCAGCTTGGACGTAGACTCTTGAGTGCAAGCAGCTGACAACAGAAGTCAAACCCAGAGATTTACTAAAGGATAAGCTGAAACTGTGTCCGGCAGAGCACTCTGGAAAACCTCTTCCTGTTGCCTTAATAAGAGAAACAAGGGCCCAGGTTCTCCAAAAGCTGATGTACACTTCAGTGTGTGTGACGAGACTACTTAAGACTACTGACGTGCTTCAACTTAATTGCACATAAGCATTATGTAGGAACCACACACTGTTTATATGGCCATATGCCTACTAAAATATCTCTTTTTTTATTTTACTTTTTTTTTCCCCCCTCCCTGTAACTGATTCCCCTTGCTTTAAATGATTGAGAGTAAAAATACATTTGTCTGATCTGGGTCTTGGACCTGATCCAATACAAATCGTCAGTGGGTGATGAGAAGAGGGAGTTAACACACTTCCACCTGTGGTGGTACAGCCACTGCTTAATTTATACCCTTAATTTCGTTCAGGCACTGCTATTTTTAACGTTTCTCTGAGGGCTAAACACTGCAGTCCATTCTTAGGCCACACTCAGCTGTCATTTCAAGAGGAGTTTGGCCTAAGAGCAGGTTGAAAGACTCAGCTTCCACGCTGGTGGATGACAGGTCTGACCCTTTCGCTGCTGCCATGTGCAGAACTGTACCCCATTTCCCAGGTGCCTGGTGTAAGGCATGGGCTGAGGGGTCCAAAGTCTCTGGGGAGGCTCTTTAGGTCCTCAGGAGGGGAGAGAAAGGCTGCAGGAGGAGAAGTGGTGCATCTATGTGGGGCAGAAGGTGTCCACGGTGGCATTTCGTCGATGCAGAACCTGGTTTCTGACAAACTGGTAGTGCTCCAGGGACATGAGAGTGGTTCACTTGGTCTCTCTTATACCTTCTGCCTTGCTGTGACACCTGCAGGAGGAGGGGGAAATGCAAATTATTTGCAACTATGAACAGAAGTGTGTTTTTTGCATGCATGTGTATCTAACAGTTGGGACGCTTCTAGGGAAACTAGCTTAATCTGTTCTTCAGATAACCTAAAAACAGGTAGAGTTGCATGTCTTTAATAAAAACCTCATGTTTCCAGAACTAATCCTGATGCTCAAGAGTTTGGGCAACTTTGCTTTTAAGCTGGGTGCTAGTTCAGTCCAACAACATTTATCCTTCTAGATATTAAATCGCTGAACTTACTAAATCCAGATGATTTAGCAGGACTGTCAGAGGGCTGGGGCAGCACACTGACATTTTTAAGAGCCTGTCTTACTCCATAATCAAACCAAATACCATTTCTAATGGCAGACACGAAGGCAAAGGCCAAACAGGAGGAAGAGCATTAGCTTGATGACATTCTCGTGGTCCATCTAAAAACTGCCTGCAGACAGTACTGTCTGCAGAAGGGGAGGTGAGGCATTTGTTCCTCTAGAATTAAAGAAAAACCTTGACCCTCAAACACCTCTGTCTCTCTGCAAGAGTTGATGTGCCGCTGTGCCACGTGAATGTCACAGCTGCCCTTCTGCCCCTTCCCTCCCTCCTCACCAGGCTGTGGTCTCTGAGTGCTGGCCTGTGCTCCCAGTTTGGTTTTTCTTTTATTTTCTATGGAATAAATCAAGTATATTTGTGAGCAGGGAAATTGCCAAAGCCTAGCTGCTTATGGACTTAATGCTTTCAATGCTTTTCTTTATTCTGACTTTTCCAAGTGACATACAGATGGGAGGAGAAGAACAGGGAAGCTGCATGAACAGACGTGAGCATTTGTCTGTAGGAATTCTCTGGGGTCTAAGGCAAGGAAACTCAAAGAGCATCTCTCCTGAGTTTAGGCATTTGTACAGTTCCTCCTCTGTTTGACTGTTACCTTTGTTAAATGGACATTCTTCCAGCTTTTTTTTGGATTTGGCTGGAAATGAGTTCAGATGTTACCAATGTGCACACAAACACAGAATACCCACCTGTACATTGGTTCCAGAGGAAAGCCAACTAACTATTTTTTTCAGGAATATGATGTGGGATGCTAATCTTTGGGTGAAAAACCTGACAATTAAGGAACATCAACATTACTACAGAAATTTCTGCATAACAAGATATAGTCCAGGTGAGACCAGAGCTCAATATCTGCAATATCCTGTACCAAAAGAGAACTAGTGGTGACCTGAACAGATCATGTGTGCTTGGGCCAAAACATACAGTAAAATTTAAAAAAAAAAAAAAAAATCAGGTAGAACATCCTAGTTAAAAAGATTGAATGGGAGCACTCTAGGCTTGCTGAATCTGTCATTCGAAGAGGGATGGATGGACCTGAGCTGCATTTGGGAGAGGAAGCACTGTGGTGGGAGACAAAGAGAAGCAAATGTGTTTGTTTTTTTTCCTGCTGACCTTGCCTTGTGACATAAAGACAGACAGAGAGGAAAAAGAGAATTGTAGATTTCAAGGTGCAGCTCATCTCTGCCTCCTGGCATTGAAGCCCACGTAGGTGCTCCTGGTGTGATGCCAGGTGCTGCATTCCAAGGATGCACTGAAACTCCTGCCTCACTTGGCCACTTCATAAAGGCATCATTTGTCCAAGCCTTCCTCTGTGTTGTATTCCTATGTCTTCTTAAGGACAAAGCAAAGCTGTCTGTGTTTTTTTCTTTTCTTTTTTTTTTTTTTTTTTTTAATTTTTCAAAAACTACTTTTTTTAAGCCTGCATGCTGGAATCCAAGAGCTTGAAAAAATACATAATTTATATTATGTATTAATACATACAATATATTAATTATAATATGTATTAATAAGCTTAACTCAGTTAACGCAGTTCCAGCTGCCTTCCCAGTGCAGCACGACCACCAGTCCTGATGTACTTCCCACCTATCCTTCAATGCTACTATTTTCTGCTCCTGCAGTAAATCTTCCTCAGGATTTTTAAACCAACAGAGCTATTTCCACTTAATATAATCCTGTACAGAAAACGCCAAGATGAGGGCAGGAGTAGTCAGGACTGCAACTACCCAGTGTAAATCCTATTTTCTCTTGCTAGAAATGATAATCCAGGTGCAGGAACAAAAGCAGTCCTGTGGGGAAATCCTCCACAGGTTTCTCTGTTCTGCCATCCCAGGGGCTGGGGCTGATGGGCTGTGTGGGAGCAGGGCTCCCAGCTGGGCTCCCAGCCCCAGGGAACTGGGGATGCTGGAGAATAAATACATTCCTTTGAGGAAATGAGACAAAGAGCAATTTGACAATATTGATTTAGTTCATAAGAGATGCTCATCAGCATGGAAAGGGCAAGGCGTAATTATGCAATTTCAGTACAGTGGGTGTTTCGGTTGTTTCTTTTTCTTACTTTTCTTTCCACTTGCTGTAAAAACAGACAAAGTTTTGCAAATGAGAGTCTCATCCTGAAACTCCTTTTGAGGGGCAACCATATGTTGCCAGCATCAGTGAAGGATACAGAGAACTTGTGTGCAACTCTGGAGTCAAATTTAGCTTTGAGTGGGAGCTCGTGCCTTGCCCCAACAAGTACTTGTCCCTGAGTCCAGTGTTTTATTCCCTTTTCCAGATAGCCATATTTAAATAGTGCTACAGAAAGTGGTTACCCACCAGCAAACCGACCGTTCTTTGCCGGAGGTAGGTACTGAAATTGCATTTTTACAGTTTTTGGGAAAATAATGGGATCAAAGCAAGGACTTTTTTCATCACGAGAGGTTTGATTATTTGGTTAGAATAATGACTTTTAATTATTTGCAGGGAAAGGCAGTTTGGTTGCTGCTGACACAGAGGATGAACATGTGGGCTGTGATCTTGTGTCAAAGGGAGGTCAGCACTGACTCCACTCAACGCAAGATCAACACCCTGGAGAGTAAAAATCAGAGTAACAAATTTATTTCACATGTATTTGTGATTAGACACAAAGACAAAAAGCTTAGCTGATTTGCTGAATACTGATTAGGTCTGTGAAGTCCCAATGCAGTGGTTAGTTCACATAAAAACACCTTTGTGAGTTTACATACCTCATTGTGTCACACAACCTTTTTTTGTTTTATTATCTCCAGTATCACTCTCAACCTCTGCTTTTAAACAAAAGAGACACACTAAATATATCTGGTCATGGCAAGGCAAAGGTAACAGGGAACTTTTTATGATGAAAATGCTGTCTAATAGCAGAGATGTTCCTAGGAACATGGAATAATTGAATGGTTTTTGCTGGAAGGGACCTTAAAGATCATGTGGTTCCAACCCCTCTGATGCCATCCCTGGATGCCCAGGGAACCCTGTAGCTTTTGCAGGATGGGGTCAGTTCTTAAGCCAGAAGTACTAATGTCAGGTGTCAGGAAAACATCGCCAGGGCTGGGAGCATGGGATGCTCCCGTTGCTGCGGCTCCTCCTGCTGTCACCTGGGAAGCAAGTTCTAGGAAACCACTTCTGTTTTGTGCCTTGTTTTTAACTAGGGGTAAGTGTCAGGTTTAGAAAGATAACTAACTACAGCCTTGGGGTATGCTGTATTAAAAGGTAACTCCTCTGTGGTCGCTGCTCTACCCATGCTGTCTTTCTCAGAAACGGGTGCTCAAACCCTTCTTTCCTTTCTCTTCCACTTTCCTTGGAAGGAAAAACATTAAACGTTGCTAAAAAGAGACTCTCCCACTTTCATGTCTAATTTTTTGAACCCAGGATCTTGCAGAAAATGGGTTTTGTACAGTATATTGTATCTTTCTAAAGGCTGACAGACCCACATGTCTTCTCTATGAGGTGTCTCTAATTTGGGATTAATTAGCCACCCAAAGGTGGCTTCAGCTTGGTATAGTCTAAAGGACTGGGACATTCTTCCCAGTTTCAGGACTGACTGTGGTCTTTTGCTGTGAGGTGGAGACCTGTGAGGCTCTGGCAGCTGAGCCCTCTCCCCTATGCCAGCAGAGCAGCCCAATTTGGCCGGTCAAACAGGGTCCTTTGCAGAAGCATCAGCAAGATGCTCTTTTTGAATGACTTTTAATGACTTTTTCCCCTCACCCTGCAGTAACGGTTTGAGGGCCTGATGTTTAGGAGCTACTTAAAGTACCCCTGGGGCTCCCTGTCAGGCAGGAGTGCTCTTGCAAGGAGGCTTAGCGGGGGGAAAAACCAAACAACCCCATGGCAGCACTGATGTTGCTGCCTTTATGTGTTTATAAGTAGTTCAGAGGGGGCGATTGCTGATTAAGTACCGAGTATTAAATGCTCTTAATCACTGCTCTGGAGCCTAATGGAGCTCTTGTTTGCACATAACCATGCCTTGTAGCTGTCTTTAGCACACTTGACAGATGTGCTTATTGCCATCTTTACTGCGTACGTGTAATGGGCTTTTAAATTATTGATTCATCATTATCCATTTATAAACTACTTATAAATGTCATGCAAATGAACTATGCTTGGGTTTTTCAGGTTTAAAAAAATATCAAACTCCATGAAAGTGTGGCTCTAGGGGCAGGTGGCGTTGGGCCTTGAAGTGGGGAGGAACAGCTATATACAAATATATGAGGAGGGCTCTCACGCTTAAGTCGCTTCCCAAGGGCTATTTATGACATAGGCTACCTGAATAGCTTTTGCTGTGCCTCTTCTTCTTCTTCCGTTTCCCAGGTGGCCTCTGCTTTTCCCTGTCGGTGTGAGTTTGCTCTGGAGGAAGTGTTGCTGAACAAGAGGAGTCAGTGGCTGGCTCCTCTGAGAAGGACTTCTCCTGAGAGGTGTCCAACAGTGAGTCTGTACCAGGGTCTTCGTTTTCCTTTGTCATCTCTTTTGACTCTGCCTGATGAGCCTCATTGCAGGGAGCGCTGCTGGGGTCCGTCCTGGTCTTGCTCAGCTGGGGTTCTGGCTCCTGTGCCAGCCTGTAGGTCTCTGAGCAATCAGCTGGGCATTCCTTGTCCTGGCCTTCTGAGAGGGACCCATTAGTCCAGCTGAGCTGGTCTCTCAGAGCAGTGGCTGAACTGCTGCTCACAAAGCTTATCCTCATGCCTGTGTCAGCCAAAGAGAAAGCAATGGAGGTGCCCTTTGTGCTTGGCTGGAGGCTTGCCCAGTTGTCTGTCTGCTCCATCCCAGTGCCAGGCACGAGCTGAGCAGCCCCATCAGCTTCCACCAATCTCACGGATGGGCTTTCGGTCTGGGACTCCAACGGCAAACTTCCTCCAGCGTTGTTTTTAGGTAACACCTGGTTTGAAGCTGAAGCATCTGTAACTGCTCCATCCATCTCCATCAGGGCAGTGGCTGAGGAGGGAGTGCTTTCTGAGGGATGACCATCCTTGTTTTGCTTGGTCTCATCATTCATCTGCTTCCCTGCTGCTTGTGGATCCTTAATGCTCTTTCCTTTAAACAAAAAAACATGCAATCAGCCACAGCTGCAGAGCTGCACCTGGGATCAACCAAGATGCTTCTGCCACTGGGAGAGGTTACAGGTGAGCAGCTGCCTGTGGAGGGAGCACTGACCCTAAAGCACCTATGCAGAGGCAGCATTATTTTACTCTCCCTGTACCTCCCCCCTTATACCAACATGGTCACCCTGGCTGGACTACAAGGCTCCAGCTCAACAAAGGCCCTGCTTTGTTTTCATCAGGCGTGTCTTTGCTGCCAACTGACTGATTTCCATGGAAGCTCCTGGACTTGCAAGGAGGCCTGAAAGTCTATGGCAGGAAGGGAGAACCTGCAAGGTCCTGAACTAGGGTGGACTGCTGGCTTGGCTGTATGAGGACTTCAGAGCTGCCCATTAACCAGCCTAATCCTGCCGTTGCAGAACAGCTCTAGGGAAGACGTGGGCTCTATGGCAGACCAATCTCCTTGAACTTCCCTACTGTGCTCTAACACTGAGGTCAAGAGACCAAAGAAAAGCTAAACCCACGGGCTATCTCCTCACAAGCACCTAAAGAACTTGGGTACTTCTGCAAATAGGGTTTCTAATCCTTTTAAGGGCTTCCTCAGATTCCCAAGCATAGACTAGGATGGGGTGCAGCAGACTCCAAGGCAGTGACACACTGTGCTACTGAGACTCAACAGTGTGGAGGGGACTTGTGTGGGGATGACACCAGTGTCCCATCAGCATGGTGCTGTGGCTGACACATGGATCAAGCACCTCAGAGGGTTCATCAGCACAGGTGCAAGGCCATACTGCTCCAAATTCCTGCTAATACTGGAACAGATCTGTCTGGCAACGGCTCAAGGCTCTCTGCTCCTCTTCTCCTCAGCACTGGCTGCAAAGCCTTCTTAAATAAAATGCCCCAAATGCAAATGCAAAGGCGAAGGCTTCTTGCTGGTGCGTGCTTGGCTCAGGCTCAGAGGCAGATGGGAATGAATAGCTGCAGTACAGTCAGGTCTGTGTCCTTACCAGACTGGCTTTCCTCCGGGCTCTCCTCAGACAAGGGTTTAGGAATTGCATCCGACTCATGTCTGTTCTTTGTCTTTCTCAGTGTGAACCCTTTCCTGATGTCGGCTAGCAGTGCATCGATGACACACACCTCGTCCTGCTTCCCCAAACCCTTCTTAACTGGGAGAGAGAGAGAGATGGGTGTTAAAATTGCCCATGGAGTGGGTACTGCTGTCCCAGTACAAGCAACCACTGGGCAAGAACAAGGCACCAATATCAGGCCTGGGAGCAGCTCATGCTCTGTGACCCCACAACAGTGTGCCCTGGATGAAGAAAAGGCATTTACTTCAAAGTTTCAGTGCTACAGGCTGGCACCAGTGGTACCAGCTCTGCCCAGATGTGTCCCTGGTTGTGCCATGACCTTGAAATAAGCCCTGTTTCCTATCCATGTTGATGGGGGCCTTTTTTTTTTTTTTTTTTTTTTTTTTTTTTTTTTTTTTTTTTTTTTTTTTTTTTTTTTTTTTTTTTTTTTTTTTTTCCTGGAGGGAAAATAATTTTTATATTTCTATCCTCTCAGCTTCTTCCAATCGTCTTTTTCAGTCTTTTGTTTTCATCCAGAGAGGAAAGTTATAAAAGTTATATGCAAGATTTTTGGGACATCAGTAGTTTGTGATAAAGAGAAATCATTCAAGTGTGTACAAAGATCTTGGAGGAGAAGACAAATTTCTTGTTAGCTTTGGTATTCAAAAGTTATGTTTAGAAACTGAAAAAGTTAACTGAAATGTTTTAATTTGTGGTGTTTTTTTTTCTTCTGCTGTTCCGTCAGCAAACCTAAAATTAACTTCTCTGCCCAGCTGCAACAGTGGAAAGTCAATTCTTAGCTATGGCTCTAAGACACCTAAAAGCCTTTAGTCAGCTGGCACCTGGAAACCCACAAAATAAATTGCCACTACTGGTCCATTAAAAGCAGGACCAGCAAAGAGCTTCTATGGCTCCATCTCTCTTTCTTGAAGCCATTTCAGATACTCACTGACTTTTCCATTTTCTCCCTTTTGTCTCTTCCCCTCTTCCTCTTCAAGCTGTTTTTTCCTCTTCTCTGCTTTGGCAGCTTGCTCCTTTCTGTCCTTGTTTTCCTGCAGTGAGGTAACAGGGGCATGAGAAGGTTGGCTAAACATCTGCTAGAAGCTGATGAAGAGAAAGAAGATCTATAGATGAAGGAGTTAAAATTCTGGCCTTATCCTGTACAATAAATATAATGGGCATTGGGCTGTTTTGCCAAGAGGGTGAGAGGGGACTGCTGGCTTGGCCGGGACTCTGCCACATCCCAGTTGGAGGTGACAGTGGTGATATGCCTAACACAGCCACCTACCAGTGTGCTCGCCTTCTGTCTGACCTTTCACTTAAGGTTAAGTGGAAAATACTGAATCCAGTTTCTCAAAATGAGTGGCTCTGAGTCTGTTAGTTCAGGTTGAAGCAAAGGGTTTAGTTTTAAAAGTTTTTACCCTCCTTTAAAATTTTCACGATTGGCCCAAAAGTATCTTTCTGACTCTGCAGCCAAAGTTGCACCAAAATCCCAAATCACCAGGGCCTGGGCCAGGTCAGGAGCACCAGCACTGCATGAGGATGCAGTGGAGAAGGGTTCAGACAGTGCTTCACTGGGTGCCTCACGCCAAGTGCCAAAAGGAGGAGCCCGTAACCAGCATCTTCCCCCACCAGATTCTGGTGCCCATCCCATCCCTGTCTATTGGAGTGGAGGATGTGCCAGTACTAGGGATGCTCAGCATCATGCCAACCTTCAGGGCTCGGATAAAGAGATCTCTGAAGGTCTTCATGATGCTAAATATGTCCTCTAAGGACAACTTGCTCGGGTCTTCACAGAGATAATTTGCAAGTTCTTCTCTCTTCCTTTCAATGGTTTCAAATTCTTCTTCCAGCTTTTTGGAGGCATCGATGCTATCCTGAAATGCATTAAACACACACAGTAAAACACCATCCAGAGGACAAGTAGTGAAGTGCACTTGCAGAGAAAGAATATAAGAGCTTGGAGGTCTCCGGGTCCTGCCTTTTAACTGCAGCAGAGCTTATTGGAAGCAGGTGGGAAGAAACGAAGATTTGCAGATGATTTTTGCTCCTGGCAAACTGGCCTGTGCCAGTTTACAGGGATGGCTTGAGCAAGACATGGAAAGCTACATACAAAGCTTAATCCTGAGCAAAGGGCTTTACTCCGGTGACCCCCACAGAGGGTGAACATCTTCACTTCAAGTGAGAAGTCACACAAAAGCATGGACAGAGCAGCTGGGGCATGCACCTCAAGAAATGGCCGCACCAAAGGTACGTAGTTTTGGGGCAAATGCACAACAATGGTTTGTGTGGCATTGCAGCCTATTTCCAAATCTCAGAGCATGTCTTGTGGCAGTATTTCCCCTCCTCTCATCAGCCTCCTCAGCTGCAAATGTACCACGCATAGCTTCTGAGTGTGTAAGGAGGGAGATCTAAGTGAGCTCCATTACTCACCTGGATTGGTTTCTCGTACTGTTGTTTCACATCATCATTTGATGATAAGACTTTCCGCTGAAGCTCCAGCAACTTCTTTAAATTGGTACCGGACTCCGTGCGTATAATATCAAGATTAATTCTGAAATCATACAGAACCCCACCATTAGTTGACACTCCAGCATCTGGTGCTGACCAAAGAGTGGGCAAGTCTGAGCTGGTGGTTTGGATGTCCCTCTACTTCCCACCACTTCACTGAACTGAAACCTGAGCTCTGAACTCTCTATACAGTCCAAGCTCATGGAAAACAGCTTCCTTCCACAGCACTTATGGAAAGGCTGTCAGGTCTACCTAAAACTTTGTGTATTGGATAGAAGGCCAAAAAAAGTCCACCTCTTCACAACGCTGTTCTCCACCTGGAGTGCTCAGCATTAGCTCACTTTCCCTGGCCAAAGGCACTTCAGAATGCTTCTGGGTAGCTGACCTTCACAAACTCCTGCTACCACAAAGGCAGTGAAAATTTTGAAAGGGTCTGGAAGGCAGCTTTAACTGAATGCTCTGCAAATTTCAGCCCTAAGTGTTGCCAGCTGTAGTAGAATTATTACATATTAAAGGGCTTTCAATGTTCATCAACCAAATCTTTTGGTTCAAACTATATAAGATGCCATCTTGTTAATTTGCTATGCCAGCTGTGTGTGTCCTAATTTCTGGTATATTGTTGATGTACATGCGATTTATTTTTGTTTTTAATTAAAAGGAAGTGACACACAATTTTACCCTGCTGCTTTTGAAACGTATTCAAGATCCTTTGGCAGTTCCAGTAGGTCCTTGTGGCTGTTTTCTACTTCCTGAAGAGGAAGAGAGAAAGAAGAGTCATTTGCTGTGTGGCAGGAGCTGAGGGGAAGCTGGGGGGAAGGAACACAGGCAGAAGCCTCCAGGAAGGATGACTGTGCCATGACCTGCTGCTGCCCAGCTGTCTGTAGTTTGCACATTTGGAGAGGAAAAGCATTTCTCTGGGCTATAAAAACATACAAGAGCACCGAACCCTGAGAAATACTCATAGTTCAAAGCAAAGCTAAGCTCTTCTTTTGCCCTTTTCTGAGACACCTACTCTTGAGCATGGGAGGAGGCAGGACTTTGATGCAGTCTGACACTTCCTACGGTCCCAGGAGGGTACTAAAAGGCCTTGAATCTTATTTGCATCCTTTACTTTCTCAGCTGTCCTTGCTGAAGCTACTGCCAGCTAAAGTGGTGCTTGAACATGTATAACCAGAACAGAGGGACCTTGATGAATGAAAGTGGCAGACCAGAGCATTCAGAAAAAAAGTAAAAAAAGCATTGCAGGGAGTAAGAAAGTCACAGGACCTTAAAAAGTAGCATAAAAAGCTTGAGCATAGTCTGGTGGAAAAGGGAGAGGCCGTGGAAAGGCAGAAAGGCGGAACGGGTTCAGACGAGCCAGGACAGCTTTGGTAGCCACGTGCTCTGTGGTTTGCGGCTGCTGATGTGCAGATTGCACAGATATGAAAAAGGAAGTCCCAGACATTGTGGGGAAAGATGATGGAGGGAAACAGAGCAAGTCTTAAGGAGATTCCTGAGTAGTGACAACAAGCAACCTCCACCAGCCAAAGTGACTCAAATGTTCCTGACTTGTGACATTCTGTGGGTGGCCAGGGAGGGTATGAGTACAAGCATATGGCATTAACTAGGAGTAGGACAATAAAACCCTCCCTCTTCCCTACTGTGCAGGACTTGGCAGTGGTACCTCTAGAATATGGTGGAGCAGCGTAATGCGGGTCTGGTTTGCTTTGGTCTCTGTCAGTTTGAGCAAAGTGCTGATCTTAAACCCATCAGCATCGCCTGTGTGACTTCCCTACAAGAGAGAAAGAAAGCACAGGTAACTCGTGTCCACCCAAATTACAACCCTAAAGGAGATCATTCACAGACTGTAATGGGAGACGGCAAGACAAAAGAAGGCCTTACGTAGTTCAGGAAGTTTCCAACTTTGAGAATCAGTTGGCAAAAGAGCGGCAGGCGATGACTGGTCAGAAGATCTGAAAAACATAAAGGACTTTTAAGCAAAAGTCTCTGTTACACCAGAACATTTCCTACACTGTACTGAAATTGGGATTCTGAATTCCACTGAATCAAATCTGGTATTTCACCTTTGCAGCCCAATGGCCCAACCTGCAGAGAAACTGGTTTAAATAGATTCAATTCCACAAGTTGCACAAGCTTTTGTTGACTTACGTTTCTGTCTTCAATCTGGTCTCTCATTTCTAACAGCAAATAATCTGGAGTTGGACCCTCCTCACCTACAGGCTTCAACTTCCTTGGAAGTGCCCCAGTGTGGCTGAGGGTAACTGGGCTGCAAATTTAATCCTGCCAACTCCATTCAACTGTGAATATTATCTGCCAGCTGCTAAAACCAGAGACTCTCACCCTGTTCTTGGCCTCGCATGGTGGAGGTGATCATCACCTGGGCATGAAGGGTAGTCCCTGTCCTCACTCTTAGGACAGGGTGCTGTGGCAGTGTGCTTTCTGAAGCACTCAGCTTTGAGTCAAGAGCAGCTCCAAAAGGACAACTGGGCTGCTGGGAAGACACTTTTTGGGAAAGCTTCAGTTTATCCCAGCAAGCAGCTGTAATGCCAGTTGGAGAAACCCACAGCAGGAGTTGGGGGAACCAGCTCTGTAGGACAGGTAACACTGACAGTGCCAAGAAGAGTATCCTGCTCTCAGTGGACTGGAACCAGAGGTTTCTGCCATAGGAAGCCAAAACCTATTATTGCATAATCTCCCCATGTACTCGCCAAATTTGAACATCAGCAGTTTTATAACCCAAAATAACAAATTTATTCTTCTGGTTCCATTTGTAGGCAGGGAAATATTAAACACCACTACTTTCTGGGGAAGTTTGGGGTGGGCTTTTCTGGCAGCAGGGAAAATTGCTGTACGAAGGTCTTAATTTGGCAAATAACGCTGGATGGATGAATTAGCTGCAATGAGGCCAGCTCTGCTGTCTAAATTCAGCTCCTTTGAAAGGACTGACAAGTTTCCAGCACTTCACCATTGTTTCAGAGGAATACATCTGCTGCAGAAAAAGAGGGCTGAGGACAGGGGAAAATGATCTTTGGTTCTGTTAAGGGCTTTGACCATCACTGGAGATACCTACAGCTGCACCTCATGTGCTGCAGCGAACCAGTGAATGGACCATGGGGGAGTTCTTTGGGGACTGGGTAGTAATATTGCATTGCTCCAGGGGAGTTTGGGTAGGAATTAAAGCTTCCTGTCATAAATCAGATCCAGAAATAAGCTCAGGTCACTTACCTTCGCAGGCTCTCCTGATGGCTTCAGCTTTGGGCTGAATCATGTCCAGCACGACAATGGTCTCTTCACAGATCAGCATACACTCAATGCGCAGCTGGTAGCTGAGGATGGAGATTGATTCATAGTGTAAAGAAACTGGAATCTTGGGCACCACAGCAGCCCTCTTCCCACACCACCAGCAAGTCTGTGCCAGCCCACAGCACTGCTGCCAACCACATCCACATCAAACCACTGTCTGTGGCTTGCGGAGGGAGGCAAAGGGCTGCCCCTTGCCCTGAGGGCCAGTAGGGATGTATATTCTGCTGATACACTGTGATCAGCAAAGAGAAGACTGACCACTGTGTGAGAGATGGGCTCCCCCTTCTTGGCACGGCATTTGGCACTGCCTTTCAATAAGTTATGGAGCCTCCTCGGGCATGTCTGACCCTGGGTCTGGATGAGCTTCTGCTCAGAGGGAGAGCAGGTGCTGAAGCAGGAAGAGCCCTCCATCTGAGGCTAACAGGGAAAGGGACAGCTCTGTGGTGGAAGAGGGAATCCAGTTATACCCATCAGTGTTGGTCTGGGAGGCTCCTATAAAGAAACTTAAACTTCCCAGAAGTAAACCAAGAAAAAGATTGGGCTGAAGTTCATGACCAACATCCTTACCTGGGAATCTGAAGGAGGAGGAGATAAAACTGATCTGCATTTGCTAGCTTTGATTTCTCTTCTTTGAAGGCCTTCAGGTTTTCTATCTAATGGGAAATAAAGAATTAAGACTGCAGGACTGCACTGTGTGTTCAGCTCTGTGAACCTCTGGTAAGGGTACCATTTTCCTCCTGACCTCATGCTTTTCAGGCAGCAGCTTCAGCAACTGCTTCAGAACCTCAACGTCAAACTTGGTCCGGTCCCCATTCTGGATCATGGCAGTCACCTCTTCGTTGGAGCTGCAGGGAGGAGGAGCAGAGGCAGCCATCACCCAAAGACCACTCTTCCAGTACCACACACTACCAAGACTTTTATCTGTGCAAGCACTCTGCGTTTACCCTAGTGAGAGTCACAATAATCCAAAGCGAAGATACCTCCCCACAATTAAATTAGAATTAGGACCTGGATTTCTGTTATAACCCAAATTTTGTTTCTGGCCCTGGTCAAGTGACTCCAGGCCAGAGATGAATCCTGTAATTCCAGATCCTTTCTCTGGGCATTTTTTTTTTATCTTAAGAGAAAATTCAATTCTTAACTTGTCCATTGGACATGTTTTGAGGAGGGATTTGACTTCCAGATGTGTCTCACAGCCCAAGTCACCCTAAGACTGTGCCACAACTTTATCTGTAACATGGAAATGTAATGCCTTTGCCAACATACGGGGATGTTGTATGTAAAAACATAACTAAACCTCTAAACTCAGTATTTTAAAGATAGTGTAGGACCAGCAGGGGAATGTTAAGATGATTCAGTAACACGGACCACCAAAGCACATTGGCTAGAACAGATTTCGTGAGGACCTTCCAGGTACCACAAAACCTGCTCAAAGTTTTGTCAACTGTCACGAAAACTGGCCATATCTTACCATTTAAATTGCTTCAAAAATATGTTCAAATTGAGACTTTTCTTGGAGTCCAAAAATGTGATCTTCATTAAAGAAAAAGAAGATATCTCGCGTTAGATGAGCTGTCTGCAGTGATCGTTACTCAAAAGAACGAGTGGGACCTCCTCACCTCCTTTGGCTCTGCCTTCACGGGGGTGGCTGTCTTCTCCTTGGGGGTTGGTTGTGGAAAGCAAAACAGCTGCTCTATGCTGGTGTAGTTGGGCTCTATAGTTTCCTCGCTGCTGCTGCTCACCGAAGCCCACATGGAGTGACTCTCTGAAAAAGAGACAAAGTGTTCAGACTGGCTGCAGGGACAGCTGAAACCTCCTGGCTCTCGGGGCAGAGTGAGTTGCTGGAAGGGACACTCCTCAGAAGATGAATGGAATAAGATAAATGATCATTACTGAGGAGGGGCAATTCCCACAGGTGGGATCCAAAGGGCCTGAAGGGCAATTAAACTTAGTGCTTTACCCCAAGATGTGCTCATTAGGGGAGGCAGCACTGAGCACACAGAGGCTGCACAGCCCCATCCCTCCCTCTACAACTGCATTTTCCTTCAGGGTGGGCAAACTGGGTCCGCATAAGGGAGAGCTTGGACATTTCGTTTTTAGTCCCCTGGCTGATGTTATTTTTGCTTCCTTGCATCCTAACTGAGGGACTGGGCACAACCTGGACATTTTCTGACACTGACCTTCTCCATTTATCATGTTATAATTGAGCCTTCATGTATAATGCTGGCTATGGGACTGCTTGAATGAATGTCCACTGTACGTACTTAACATCTATTTAAAAAACAATCAGCACCCTAACATGCCTCTGGAAGTCTCTACTGAAATAATCCCAACAATTTACTGTTCTTGTGATTGAAAACATGCCTTATTTAGATTTCACCTTTGCCTGCTTCTATGCAGTGGATGCCTTGCTTGTCTAGGACAAAGCTGACACTGCTTGTCCTGGCTTCTTCTCACATTTCATGCTCCTCTTTAGATCCACTAGGAGAGGGAAATGTAACCCAAAAATCAAGAGATACATGATGTGATCCTCAAATGTACTCTTACTCATGACTTTAATATTTCAAGATACAAGTATAGATGAAATGGGGAATGGAAGTTTGAGGAACTTAGATCAGAGCCTGCTGAGGACTCAGGCCTAAGGCATGCCATGGTGTATTAGGGAAATATTCCCATCTCCCTTTCTTTTCTTTTAATTTCCGACTATTTTAGTTATAAACAAGCTATCCCAAAGTACTGATTTAGTTGCAATGGTTACTGTATTATACTAGTAGTTTCACGCTACTTTTATTTATTTAAGCTCTGCAGGTCAAAAGTAAAGGAAATCAGGAAAGTTCTGTATCTAAATGGAGTCAACCACATTTGACAAACTCAAGGATAGTGTTTCCTCCCCTGGGTAACCCCTACAGCAGCTGTGACTTTATGCCACTCACCTCTCACCACGTTGGAGGGCAGCTTCTGCCAGTTCAGCTTCTTCATCCTCAGTGTTGGTGTCTTCACCGCCTTGCGGGGAGGGCGGCCCATGCCAAGAGGGCAGCTGAACTGGGAGGCCACCACAGCTTCTATGTAATCTCCTCCCATGCCAGGCAGGAGGGGTGGAGGGGGTGGGACGCCACCCATGCCAGGCAAAGGAGGGGGAGGGGGAGGGATACCACCCATGCCTGGCAATGGGGGTGGAGGAGGTGGGATACCACCCATGCCAGGCAATGGGGGTGGAGGAGGTGGGATACCACCCATGCCAGGCAATGGGGGTGGAGGAGGTGGGATACCACCCATGCCAGGCAATGGGGGTGGAGGAGGTGGGATGCCCACCATGCCAGGCAATGGAGGGGGTGGGGGAGGGATGCCACCCATGCCAGGCAATGGTGGAGGAGGAGGAGGGGGGATACCCTCCATGCCAGGCAGTGGGGGTGGGGGAGGAGGGACGCCAGGGAGTGGAGGGGCTGGAGGTGTATTCGTCATCAGGGATGTGGGGTTCATGCCTGCTGTGCCAGAGGGTGGGGGCGGAGGTGGTGGGGGTGGAGGTGCCGGGGTGGAACCAGTGTTGTGGGGAGAGTTAGACGTCTCTGGTGAAGCAGAGCAGCCTGTGAACTGGCAGGATGAGATCTTCTTTTCGTTGGCAAGTGGCCCTGAGGATGTTGTCGGTGCCTTGGAGGGGTTTGATGATCCCACTGGACCCCGAGCTGCACGTGCACATGGCTCTGGCTCACCCTGGGCACCTCCAGCTGCACTCCCAGACAGCCGGTTCTCAGCTCGCTTTTGCTTGTTTGGATGTTTCTTGGTAGACAGCAGCCTCTCCATGACCTCTTCAACTGTGTTCCCTTGAACTAGAGAAAGGAATCAAGGTCAGAGAAGGGAACAGGGCCCCAGGGCTGGATCGTGCTATTCAACCCTCACCAAGCAGCAGACCTGGAGCCGCAGAGCCCACTCTGTGGTGTCACTTTGCACAACTACACTTTTGGCTTCCAGACAATTTCCTTCCCATGCTCCCAGCCCACAAACACTGTTTTGAAAAAGCCTGCCAGCAAGACAAGCCAGTGCCAGTGGCAGCATGCCAATGAGGACAGATTCCCAATGACTCCCATGACCCAACGCTCTCAGGGATTAACCATGAAAGCAAGACTGAATCCCAGTCCCACTCCTAAACGTGGCCATCCCACACAGATGGAGCTTCACATCAAGACTCGACCCTGTACAGGAGGTGTAGCTTTGTCCCAGCTTCTGTTCAGCTGTTACCAATTCCCACAGACTATTTCCTGTGCATTTGGGAAAGATTGTTGTGGGCTGTGGGTGGGACAAGGTAAAACAAGAGGAGTGTGCAAGGCTGGATGGATTTGTCATTCTTACTGTCATTTGCAAGCAAAAGGGCTCTGTTCACTACGGCATCCAAGGACTCCCACAGCAGGAGGCTGGACTGATGAGATGGTTCCAAGTGCAGCAGACTCTGAAGGATGGACAGCAGCTGGATGGAGACTGGAGAGCGGCTCACCTGGAAGAGAGGGCAGCTTTCCATCACAGCAAGGCTGGTTCCAAGCAAAGTGGGTTAACTTTGCCATCGTGTGACTTTGCACCCCATGGGAGGGCCTACTTACTTTATTGAAGAGAGATGAAAAGACCTCATGATGATCATTCATGTTTATGCCATCACACATCTTTAATAACTCCTCATCATCTTCTACCTTGAACTCCTCAAATGTATCACACTGGATAAGCAGATCCTCCTCTTCGATGTCTCTGCAATATTACAGCACTCATTTTCACTGGAGAGCCCTTCACTAATTTTCAGAAGATTGTTTTCGTTTAAATGGTTTCTATCTCTTTGCCTCTCAGACTCAGCCAGTCAGTATTTGAAGTACCCAACTGTGCCTTATTTATGAAGGATCAGATGCCATCAGTGTATCCTTTTTTGAACTGAATATATCTCTTCCTACAGTCAACATATACAAACGAATGGGACTTTTCATGGCATAACCTGGCCTAGTGTATGCTTGCTATGGAATTCTCCTTGGAGCTGTAACAATACAGTGGCATTCCCACCTTTATGAAACTGGGCCACCTTCTTTCTTTTTTAGGGTCAAGACAAAATGAAAATATTCAAGTGATGTTTCTGTTTGAAAAACTTCCTTCTCTGTTACTCAAAATTTGATTAAAAAACCCCTAGATATTCTAAAACTAACTTTTTCAACACTCTCGAAACCACTCTGTGTAAGAACTCCACCACTGATACACTATTGTCTTCTCTTCCCTAATTTTTATGGTGCTGGATGGAGCAATTCCAGTTACATGGATAACTGCAACTCACATAAAATGCATTCTAGAATTTATCACGGACGTTTCTGACAGAACATAATTTTTAAATTATGCCAAGATGCGCACTAGTAAATTGTTTTAGGTGGGTGCTTCTGGGACCAACAGCAGCAGTGAAGTGGTTTTGAATACAGTGAGCTGCTCAGTGAGCCCACAGCATTGCTCCAGGCTCAGTCTGAAACACAGCCTCAATGAGGACATCGCCACTCCATCTGTGCCCAGAGCCTCTGCCCGTGCCATCTGTGCCAACAGCTGTCCCTGTGACACTGTGGTTGGCAAGAACATCTTAACACTGCCTGAATGCCTTTGGTCCCCTGTAAGGGGTGCACACAAGAGTGGTCCACCCCACCCAGGTGCACTGCACTTCACACAACTGAAGATTTATAAGTATTAAGTTTTCACAGCTACCCCACCGTGAATCTCATTCATAAAATAAATGTAACCAGTGATCCCTACCTTAGCTTGTCTAAAACATCCAACAGCTGAAGCCCTGGAAGGACAAAAATAAAATAGATATATTTTCATTATGACCTATTTGGTACTGATTTACTATGATCTTTATATATGTTATGCTTATAAATATTTTTTGCAGAGAGAAAAAAGTGAAAATATCTTCATATGGATCTGTCAAAGTGGGTAGGTCCCATCTCATTAATGAGGGGACACCTCAACACACATCTGCAGCAACTGTGTGAACCACAATCCCCATGGAGTTACTGAGGGACACAGGCACTTCTGGGACATGAGTGACCTCAATCCAAATTAGATATCTAAAATCAGTCATGGTCCCATGTCCCTTGTTCTCCAGAGAAAGAAATGGAGCCCAGGCTCATCAGCTCAGATGCTCCCATTACATGAGGTGAATCCCAGCAACGGTACCTAAGATACCAGGATTCAAACAGTTGGAAAGAATTTCTGAGTCACAGGACAGCTTCTGTGGCTCAACTACTGTTACAAGAAGTTGCAACATACAGAAATGTGGCCACATAAGATGGTTATAGAAATGTTCTGAAGAAGTTCAAGTGATACATGTTGCTGGGATTCCAGAAAAGATCAAAGCTATGGGAAAGCAGCAAAATTAAAAAAATCTGGTGACAGAAAGGTTGCTGAGAACAGAGATCAAAAGAAAAGGAGAATTAGTATTTGCAGTTTTGCTCCCCAGCCCTGTTCAGGCACCTTCTGGATATCTCTGAAATAAAAACTGCTTGACAACTGACTTTCTCCAGAGAAAGTTAGGTGCAACAAACATCCTTACCTATGAATTCGTTTCTGATTTGTGTCCTTGTTCTTAGCTCTTCTTTCCCCAGTATGATGGCGTTGATAGCACTCAGCAGTGTCACCATGTATGGCACGTTGTCTGTGTTGGAGAGTTCATTCATTATGATGCTGAATCGATACTGCTGGTTCTTCACACTCTGTTAATAACACAGGTGATATTATGAAAAGAATAGTCTCTATAGACATAAACATCTATCACTGTGGTGCAGGCTCTCAGATGGAATTAACACCTTAAAACCTCAGTTTATCCCCACTCTGGACAGGACAGGAAGATGCAGGTCAAAGCAGCACTCCTCCATTATGGAGCAGGCTCCGTTTGGCAGAGAAAGTCGGTGAAACATCTCTTTGGATCCCTTCATGCTTTCTCATAACTGATGCATGTACCTGTGCTCTTGGGCACTGAAACCTGTAGATGTAGCACCATTTATTTTGCTGATCTAGTGGTGCTTTTGCTGCCAGAAAACACCTTGTGGTCAGCAGTCATCTGTCCAGACAAGTCACAGAACAGCACCACAGACATTTGCTGACCAGGACAAATTTCCCACAGTTTTCACCTTATAAATCCCTGCTTCTTTTACTAAAACAATGCAAAATAAACTTCATTCCCACCCTTTTCTGCATGGATCAGAGCTGATCCATACCTCCTGCTCCAACCCAACACTTGCCTTGTAATGGTCCAAGGCATCCAGAGCCAAAGCATGGCCATCTGATGAGTAAATGCACAGTGCAGCCAGTAGCTCAAATATTTGCTTTTTGACCATGACATTAGTTGTGTCAAGTGCTGGAAGAAAAACAGAACAAAACAAAGTGGAACATAAAATGACTCTCAGTGTCCTCTGCTATATGGGTTATGACCAGTGGTAGAAAAAAGACAGAAGGAGGGGACCCAGTACATGGAGGATGGTAAGAAAAATATCTCAGTGTCTAGATATCCCATCCCAATAACATTATGTGATAGTAACTTCTAGTGGGAACAGTAAATGCCACAGGTACCCTGTTGGCATTTTGGTGCAGCCTGTAGTTGTTCATCTCTTCCATGTCCCAGTGGCATGCTGAAAGAGCAGCCAAGATCTCAACACTCACAATCACACAATTTAGTTCACATTTTCACATATGGCTGTTTTCTAGAACAGCAGATGAACCATTTTCCTCGATTAATGACTCTTATTTTTAGTGCAGAAGAGACCAATATGCATATCAATTAGACCAATTGTTTTAACCAGTCCCCATGCATTCCCTTTTTCCACAACTCTTTCTCTGTGAGCCCTAGGAGCTGGGAGGGAGAGGATTAGACCATCTTGTTTTTCCTTTATTAGTACACAAAGAAGCTCAAACACTGAAAATCCCAGGATACTCCCCTGTTTTTCACAGCATAAAAATGCCAGCTCCATATTTCACAAAGGTTAAGAAAATGCGGGGTGAAGAGGAAGGAAGGAGACTTCAAAACTGAAGAGGGGAGCAAGCCAGCTTTCAGACTGAATGCATTTTAAAAAGATATTAATAAGGGTTTCTGGGCGCAGCTGTAATCTCTGTGGAGCAGCACAGAAGTCATCCTTCCGGCACCAGCACCATTAAGTGCTGTACAAGAAGTTCTAGGAGATGCCTTGATGCATTTCATACCTAACAACGAGCCAAGTGAATGGCAAGAGAATGTATGTGGTGTGCCCTACCATCTTCTAGAAGGAACAGACTGAGCAGCACAGAGAATGGGCTCTCTGGAGTCTAAACCATGCCACCTTCCCTCCTCTTTACAAGACTCCAAGACCTTTCAATTCCTCTCCCTCTGCCCTTGGGGCTCACAAAGACTGAATAGCAAATGTCTGACAACTGAAGGGTCATGCCTGCATACAGCTAAGGCTGGGTTTACCCCAGCTTCTCAGTAAACTATGACAATATTTGTGTGGAAACAGCACTGGGTGGCAAAGGCAATGTGACTTCATGGCAATATTATTTAAAAAAACCCAAAAAAATACTACTAATCCATTGTGACAAACAATTTCCAACAAGCCTGGTGCAGGGCAGAAGGATAAACAAAAAGAAAGTCCCCCCACCATACCACATGATGGATGAAGTAGGAAGATGTCTCCTCACCTTGGAAGAGTTTTCTGACATAGCCCTCGTTGCTCACGATGTATTCGATGCCTTTGTGGGAGTTCATGACGGCTCGCACGCAGCTAATGCAGGTGAGCTGAAGCAAGGCATCGGATATTCTGGCCACTCCTCGCCCAGACAGCCTGTCCAGGGCCTCCAGAAGGAGGTCCAGCCCACACAGCTCCAGGAACTGGACCATCCAGGCATCGTCGCTGTTCTCCAGACGCTTCTTCAGCCCGGAGTAGTTCACCACCGATGGCATTTGCAGGAGACGGATGCACAGCTCCGGCTCGGCATTTTCCAGGTTGGCCTCTGACTGGTCAGTCTCCTGGGGTCCGAGTTTCTCCTTCAGGGCAGCCCACTTCTTGTGGGCACCTTCCTTTTTGATTGACATCGTGAACAGTTTGTTCTGAAAGAAAGAAAAGAAGAGGTAAAGTGAGATGTTTATTCTGGACTGAGCACAAACCATCCGGTAGCCCTGTTTTTTCTCCAGTGATCAGGATGTGAAGCCCAACTACAGCAGGTCCCAGCTCTTCAGGACATAGAGAACACACTGGAACCAGCCCTCTATTGAAGAAACTCAATATATCCCCACCTTAAACACAAATTTCACATTCAGGGTCTGAAAACTCCATGGAGAGACTTTCAGCACATCCAAGCCAGCAAATACAGCTTTAAAAGTAGCCAATTTACACCAGTCAATAGCCACTACCTATTTTCATGCAATGAAAGGATAAGGTTGGAAGTGGCATTATCAGCTCTAAACTCCTAATGCCCATTAAACCACTTTAAAATCTCACTGTGCTGGAGAGGCTGTGCAGTTTCTAAGCATTTGCAACGGGATGGAGAAGTAATTCTGAGCACATCCTGCTCATAAGAGCATCTAATTACCCTGTTCTTTTTTTGCTTTTGTTTCTTTTGACTGATGTTGAGGTTAATTTTATAGCACTCACTTAAATCCCTTCCTGTCTGCTGTAATAGCAAATATATTTGCAAACGTGGTGTTTGTGCATGATAATGTGAGAGCCCTGACAGGTTGTGAGTGCAGGGACGGGAGTGGGAGGCTAAGAAAACAGAACACCTTTTTGGAGATGGGCAGCAATGGCTCATCTGCTTGGAGGGCATGGCCTGTTCAGCCAGGCTGTTATAGCAGCAAGGAGGGTCAGGAGCTGATTCAGCACAGAGAATCTGTAAAGCCAAGTGTAACTCTTGGTACCAGAGTTTACGGTTTTAGGCAGGATTATTACTTTTCAGACCCACAGCGATTAAGTTATACAATGCAAGTCCTTTTCAACGCTGCATGCAATCGTTTTAGAGCTGAATTGCTCCCAGAGACGACAGTTTGCCCAATAAGAAGGGGATAAACCTGCTGGACCCAAAGCCATCTATGGACGTGACCTCTCCTCCCTTCCATGCCCCCAGGACCTCTGTTCCCCTGGGCTGCTGAGCCTGTACAGGACTCAAAATAACCTGGGGGCCATTTGGGCCCCAAAACTCAGCACTTAGGGGACTGAAGGGATTATGGGAGAGTCTCTTTTTTCCTTTCCCAGCTCCAGCACAAGGGTTTCTGGCCCTGCAGTGAGTAGAGAAAAGGCTTGAAAAATGTAAACTGAGTAATCCCTGGAAGGTTTTATTTGCCAGACAGCCAAGACAAAGGATGGATGGTTTACGCTGATTGGAAGTAATCTCATTTTAAAGCCTACCTTGTGATTTTTCCTGGGGACTACCCTGTTGGGAAAGGTCCTGGCTGCTTCTCCACAGCCGAGCCACATGGCTTCTGTTTTACCCAAAACCCCATTTTGGCAGACACACCTTGGCATATGGTTTGCTCACTGATTCGTGGTAGGCATGATATTATAGGCCTAAACATGCCTCTTGGAAAAATGCAAAGTGTGATGGGATAGGATATTTGAACAATTTCCCAGAGAGAAGGTGATGGTGGGACTCTCTGGAAGGGGCACTCAGCTCACAGCATCAAAGTCTTCATTGAGAGGTCAGAGGGATGGAGGAGATGGCAGGATATGGTGACAGAAAAGCCCTTTAGAGAGCTCTGGAGAAACCTTCTTGCAGAGTTTCCTTTTGCTTCAATGGGAAAGGAGCTGGCCAAGTGCCCGGTTGCTCCCTATTCTGTTGGCTGAAAAGATGATGGCCACAATTGAAAAACGTGAAGTTGTGGATATACGATCTGAGAACACACTGTACAGCTGAAAAGTGATAAAAAGACCATAAAAGAAAAAAGCCCCAACCAACAAACCCTCCTGCCAAAGCACAGGCTTGAGTTTCTAAGATTTGTCATCACTGTCTGCAGCCCAAAGCCCTTACTCACTCTCGGTAAAATTCTTATGGGATTAGTCAACCCCAGTCCCTCCCTTGTACCCAAGCTTCGGTATTTGGGTTACGCTCAATGAAAAGAAGAAGAAAGATCCTCCCTCCCTGGAGGGAGAGAAGAGAGTGCCCTGCCCCAGGGTCACAGCCCTGGTGATGGGGCAGTGTCCTACACGTCTCACCACAGTGAATTCACAGTCATGGGGCTGAAGAGGTGCTCCTACAGACCTGTAGTCAAATCCTGCTCCATGATGTGTATTGAGCTCAGCCACCCCTTTCCAGTGCCTGGGGTCAAGCCTGGACCTTTGGTGTGGGGCAGGACCATCCGACCTGGCTATTGGTCTGCATGAGGGGCTGCAGGGGTGGCTGCCAACTGCGAGCTCCCTCTCTCTGATGTGAGTTCTTTTCTATACTCAGCAAATCACTTTTTAAATTTGAACACATCTAAACATTTCTTATCAAATCAGATAACAAAGCAGGCTGGCTTTTTGCTCCCAGATGTATAAATACTTCACCATATTGTATTTGTATTGTATTATATTGTATCAGCTACAGCAAGCCAGAGAAATTATAATAGCATTACTGACCTGAGGCTTAGCTGATTCCTGAAAATTAAGCTCCACCAGTACAACAGGAGACAGGAAATACCGACAGAGCATCCTGTTTACCAGTGGATTTGTTCTGAATTATCCTTCCCTCCCACCTGCTCCACACAGATGTGAAGAGATGAGAAACAGAACCAGGCAGGTACCTCTCCAAACAGTCCCGGCTTATGTTTTTATGCGCTAGACTGAAAAAAATCGGATTGATTAAATATTCTTTCCCACAGAGAGCGCACACTTTTTGCAGGGAAGTAAAAGAGATGTCTTATGTATCTAACTGTAAAAAGGGAATAAAATAAATAGGAGCTGTACTATATAAATGGAAAGGAAATTAATATGGAGGAGAGGAGATGGCAGTACGATTCTGCAGATGGTGTGACAAATCTGTTTACAAACATAGATATGAGTGATATATTATGAATGCAACATCTTTCCACATTTTCCACGAAGCAAAGTGCTGCAAAGTTGTTCAGATACATCCTTTAAGGGCTGGTAGTTTCACCTTTTATCTCTGACCACAGGAGCTTATTAGCAGGTAAATGATCTCAGCAGAGTGAGATGGATAAGGATTAAAATGGAACACATCTATCTGGCTGGCTCACAGAGGCCATTTAGACTAAACCTTGTTGCCAAGTGCCACATCTCCATGTGTTAAATACAACACTCTCCTCATCTCACCCTCAGAGGTTGGTCAGGCCTGATGGAGGACGACAACTAAAGAAGCAGTTGCTTCTTAGCAGCAACACTGATGCAAAAATATTTCTAATTTTGCAAGATTCTTTTTGGAAACATGAAGGCATCCTAAAGGCTCACCCTCCTGCACCCAGCCACAGCAACACTGCGTTTCATGGTTTGCAAAGCTGTAATGTTCCCTGCATCCATCCAACCCAGTTCATAAAATTTCCTTCTCCTTTCTTTCTGAACCAGGTGCTGCCCAGACTGAGTTTTCTGTGCCCCTCTGTCCTTCAAGTCAGCTCCTAGGGAGATGACATCTGTGGGAGATAAATCAGGGCAAGCCAATACTTTCTCCATCCTGTGAAGCTGTGGAGAAAAGAGCTGCACAGCACAGCTTTCAGTCTAAATTATTGCATGCCTCCAGGATGACATGGATCACAGCAAGGACTGGGGAGGACATGTAAAAAGAGATTTCTCAGGGCAGCTAAGTATAACTGAGCAAAAACAGAAGGGAGAAAAATTGCAGGTCGAAACCGTTTGTATTTTTTGGGGCAGACTCTCTGTCTGTGCTGAAGAACAGGGGTGCATGAGGGGGAACAGTAGCTCCTTGCTGCCCTTTGAAGTCTGGGAGCATCCCAATCCCACCTTCTCCCTTCACAGCCCCCTGCTTCCCTCCACAAGGCTGCTGGGTCACATTGCTGGCCCCTGAGAGAAGCTGCTCAGCCCCTCCTTCCTTCTGTGCCTGTTCCTGGCACCCAAGAGCCCGTTCTGCCTGGCTGACTGCTAATGACAGGTTTTGCTTCTGGGTAGTTCCAGCTTTCACTCTGCTGCTGGGAATATGCCGAGCCTTTGTATTTTGCAACATGTCAGACTACTCAGTCACTAAAAAGAAAAAACATCCTGGCTAAATCACTTTTAGAAGCGTGACGGGTTTTCTCCACCTCTCTTTTTGCTTTCATTTGTACTGTTGTGTTTTCCTGCGCAGCGTCGGAACAGCTCGCGTACGCACAGACTAACAAAACCATCCTCCCACACACCCAGACTAGTGGGGGGGAACCACAAATCTCTGTTTTAGAAACCAACCTGAGCCCCTGGTGTGGGCCCATTGGCCTCTGTAGGAACCTGCAGCGTTCTCAGTCTCCCGGGGAGCTGAGGGTAAGGGTACAGTGGGAAACTCAGGTGAGCAAGCCAAAGGCAGGGTTTGCCCAACAGTCCCCAACTCAGCAAGCAAACCTAGTGCTGCTCCACACTTCTGCTGCCATGGCCAGTAGCCACAGCAGCCTCTAGATTTATTTACATGTTCTTGATCCTCACCTGTATCAGAAGCCAGAATGTATGACTTATGCTCAAAAAATGAAAAGGTCTTGGAATGAGTGCCCAGTCCTGCTCTTCCATACTGAAGAAGTTCATGGAGTCTTTGGCACACTATGCTTTGCTGTGGCACACCCCACAAGTGAGGCACACAGGAGCTCTTACAACACAGTGCAGGGTCATCTGTGCCCACAGCAGTGCCACACCATTATGGGGAGTGTTCTGTCTTTAGCAAATGAGAGAGCATGGACACACAGCCTGATGCAGCTGGGCAGGAGCTGTGCCATCTGCATGCTGACTGGGCCTGGCATGGGCTGGCAATGGCTTCTTCTGGCTGCAAACTTGCAGAGAAGGACTTCAGTGCATAGACAAAAAGTGGCCATACTGGTATAAATGTGTATGCATTTTGCCAGTATAGCTTATTCTTTCACAAATAAAGGAAAAACATGTTGTCCTGATTCCGTCCCATCCACCACTATCAGGATGCTGTGTGCCA